TAGAGGCACTGTGAGGTCTGAATAATGGGTTAGGAATTCCCTCCAGTAGATTCCAATACTCACAGAGTATTGGTATAAGACTGTAAGAATGTTATGAATTTTCAGAGTCCAATGTTTTTAACGAAGGAAACAACCATAAGTTTGATTAAATTCAAGAGTGGCCATTTATCCGCCAGTCTCATTCTTTTGTTTTTTGTGTTCTGACTATTCATAAGAGAAGTACCTTTCTATGGAGACCAAAAAATACCAGTCTTCTTTTGTTGGGTAGTTGAGAGTGCAAGTAAATTTTGCAGCAACACTCACAATGCCCAATGCTTCACATAGAGTGATTTATTTAAGTGGACTTTAACTTTGACTTGGTTATGATAATTTCTAAAATGACACCATTTTGCCACAAAAATTGTTGTAATAAGTGGGTGGAAAGAATGAAATCTTGATTTAGATTGTATAAAATCGGTTTTTTTGTTTGAAGGTAAACCAATCCAATGCTGGATTCCCCAAGAGTTCACAAGAGGTTGGGAAGAGTATGCGGAAAACTACTGTTGGGTGTCGAACACCTACTTCTCACCTCTGCCGAAGCGTCTACCACAGAGTATGGCAGATCGCGATAACGCCCGCATTCTCTACTACCAATGGGCACCCATCCTCATGGCTATTCAAGCCCTCCTTTTTTACCTGCCCTGTCTAATTTGGCGTCTCTTCAACTCTCATTCCGGCTTCAACGTACGTCGTATTATGCAAATGGCGAACGACTCCAATATTCTCCTGCCCGAGCATGGCCTAAAAAATGTGCGCTTCATTGCACGTTACATGGAAGGCTGCATTTACCGTCTGCGTGACTATAAACGTATCATCTCCACCGGTGCTGGATGTGCTGCTGCCGCCTCCTCGTTCCCTTACCGTGGCATGCAGCGTTTTCCTCTAGAGACTGAATTACCCCCTCCTGGATACACGAAAAGTGAATTGGAGACCCGTAGAGGCGGTGGTGATAAACGCAGCAATGGGGAGCCAAATCTGGGGGTCTCTTTAGCACGACGGAACAAACGAACCACTGGATCCTTGTGTGGTTGTGGTCGAGGCGGTCTCGGATCATGTTGGGGATCCAGATCATCGCGAAGGCGGTCGAGAAAGCTTCCCCTAAATCCTATCATTGAAAGTAGTCCTGCAGCGGGATTAGCTTCACCTGCAGAGCGGACGGACATGACCCAAAGAGGTGGGAAATCAACACCGGGAGGGTACAGCTGTTGCGGACGAAGGAGTGGCAACTTTCTCGTAGTGCTGTACTTCTTCGTAAAGGGACTCTATCTAATCAACATTGTTGGACAGTTGATCCTGATGGAGAAGTTTATTGGAACAAACACCGCCTTCTACGGGGTGCGAGTGCTAATAGATCTGCTGCAAGGCAGTGATTGGCACACCTCTGGCAACTTTCCTCGTGTCACCTTTTGTGACTTTGAGGCGAAAAAATTGGGCAAAAATCAGTTGTAAGTTGAGGGCTCCTTATTTTACTCGCGAATTTTCGAACGGTATGCTGAAGACTAAAGCTTTCTCTACACAAATGTGGTTCAAAGCCTATTTGAAATACGGGCATTGTTTTTGATAGGAGAATACGGCTTTGGCTGATCTTTTTTGAGACTTTTTCTTCTGCCTTAACAGTTACTTAAATTGTATGGAGGAGGTTGCTACTTTTCAAATGTGGTATTATGTTGGTTTTAAATATAACCATAAGATCACTCAAACTTTCTAGAAACCTCTTAAGACCTTATTTGTTAATAATTTTATCGAATGAAAGAAATCAGAAACAGCTCGGTGCATGCTACAGTGAAAATAACTAGGAAATCAAATCGCGTTGTTATGTAAACAACTCCCATTTGTTTAACAACTTTACTTGTATCTAGATGAAAATTTTTTCAAAAACATTTGGTCCAACTTTGAAAAAGTTTAAAAATTCCTTGTTCGGCTACTTTGCAAAGTGATGGTGGTAAAAAATGTCAGTTGGCCTTAAAAAAGGGACTTGTTTTTTCTCCGTGTCTTACATTACCTCAGAGCAAAACCTTTTTTCTAATAACCAAAAGAAACCTGACCAAAAATTTTGTGATTAAATGGCACTTTATGAAGAGAAACATAAAAATGTTTAAGGATAATGCACCATGGCAGTATATCTATTTTCCGTCGGTTTAATGACGGAAGTTGTCTACTCATGCTTTTTATTCTTAACAGCCAAAAAATCTCCCTTTCTTTAGAAAATCTTTCTATTTACTTGTAAGAGTGCGATGGGGTGAGTTTGGACTAACCTTACTTTTTTTAAAAAAGGAAACAGCTTCTGGTATCTCTAAATCATTGTATTTATTTCTGTTCGTACACTCGGTTGGAATAATGCAATGTATTGTCTGTTAAGAAATTTCGCCATTTAGCTGAAAAGTAATAAAGTTGTTGGGTATCATAAATTTGAATTATATTTTCAATTTCGTAAATCACTTTCCCATTTAAGGCCTAAGTATGCTTATCACCTGAGCGTTTGGCTTCTCTACCGTTATATGGGCAGACGTAAGTACATCATGTAATTTATGTTGAAAGTCACCAACTTTATTTAAAAATATCGCGTATAATTGGCATAATTTCTTCTAACTGCGCATCTGTTGCTAGCATGAACGGACTGCATTCTGTTTAACATGCGATTTAAATCACATTATGGGCTGCATTTAGGGTTGACGATTATGACAAAAAGATTCCTTTGTCGTGGGTGTGGCAACTCAAGAAATGCCCGAAGGGGTAGAGATCATAATAATAGAAGAGAAAGTGTTTTAGCGACATGCAGAAGGGGTGGATGGCTAGTGGCATAGCCCAAAAGTTATGCTACCTATTGGAAGTACAATTGCGGAGCTCTAAGTACCCGTAAAACCAAAATAAAGTGTTAAACAAACAGAGATAGTGCTGCACAGACCTTCTTATCGTTTAAGCATTGGCTTCGCTGCTACTCTTGGTAACTTCCCGCGTCAGCTATCATAGCTTATTCGGTGCTGTAGGGAAGAAATCCAAGAAACAACCGCTCCAGTTATCGGATTCCAGTGCAGCTGAGATGATATCTGACTGCCAAATTGGTGACCCCTCTTGACAATTCCACTGGATCTGAAGTTTCATCCTGTTAGGGGCAAGAAGAAATCGTGCTTGTCATCACGCATACCCGTCAATGGTCTTTAGAATGTTGGCCTAAAAGCAGGGTCACTTAATAAAGAAGTTTTTAAAGTAATTTTGTAAGGACAAGGTTTTACCTCTGTTCAACTTGCCACTTTACTCTCACTTCAGTACTGTCCATCCATATCTCCGGCTGATTCTGTCCACCTAGTAGAGGAGTGGAGATATCGTTCGTTAACCTAATTGACACTCTTATGTAGCCACGGTAACTAACTTTTTCAGATGATTCACAGCTAGTGTCTAATTTCGTTCTTAAGAACATTCCTGCGGAGCAGTCGATTAGGGTGGATACCGAAGGCGGACATCATTTATTACCTTTCTATTAGGGGTCATCATGGATTCTCTTATCCCTATCATTTTATCCTTTTTCAGGTATTCGGCAATAGAGATCGAGGTAGTTATCAGTTAGGATGGGGTTCGAATTTTACTGCCACTAATGTGGCGCATCGAGTCGTTCATAAGACGGTAGAAGTCATAATACAAGGACAAAATATGTATTGGCGACGTGCTGAAGGGGTGGGGGGTGTCATCATAGCTCGGAGGTCAGGCCCCCTACTGGAAGTACAGTGGCCGTACGCTACAGTGGGTTCATTGGTGTGATACATTTTGAGCATCAGGGCCCTTTAGTGACCAGCGTGGGTATCCGGTGCCTTTATTAGGGTGATTTGCATGCACTAATGGCACCCGAATTTGCTTTGTCTCTAGATTTGTTCCAAGCACGTTGATCTAAACAGATCGAATGAGACGTCTTGTTACTATGAGGAAAAATAGTTGCAGTTTCATTACAGTTTTCTTGCTCACTTCCGCAACCCAAAGAATGTTTTGCTTTTTCACCACAATTTGGTATTTTTTTTTTGCCACGTCAGTTGAGCACAGTAGAACCAACAATCCCTTAGATGTTTTGAGTGTCTTTAACCGCTGCCTTAACACGCGTTGTACATTTCCTTCCTTTGCAACACAGGCGATTTTTTAGTAGGCGTCTATGCAGTAATTGAATGCTCCGCTGCATTCACTTTTTTCCTAGACCGAAGCCAACCGACTGGTTACTAAGTGCCCAAATTAATCTGCTCCTTTGGGCAGGCTAATAGAAAAGACAAGGGAGATTCATGTCACCTTCTTTCAGGACTTTCACTGGTTGGACTATAAAGTAGCCTATCCATTGTAATCCCAATATTGGTTGTAGGTAGAACACAAGTTTCTTGGCCCAATGCAGCAGAAAATAAACACTGTTTTGCATTAAAAGACTTATCATGGTGTTTTTAGTAATGCTATACCCTCCAACCAGGGATGATGTGTGTATGCTCTGCATGCCCACTTGTCCATTTAGGTTAAAATCACTCCCAACAGAGGCTATTTGCAACAAAGAAGAAACAAATTTACATAAACTCTTACTGAACTGTTTCTCTGATGGTGGATGCGGGTGGGGCATATCAGACTACTAATTAGCGCAGTCCTTTTTCTTCCTCTTCCAACACTACTGCTCATTTACATAAATAAACTCCGTTTTTCGCAAAAGACATGGCTTTTGTTTCCCTAAATTTAGTTTTTTGCACTTATTTGCATTAGAGTGCTTTATTTTAATCTAGTGATTCTATTTTAGCCACCGCAATTTCGCCTATAATTTATTTCACATACTACTGAAAAGAAATGCACTTAATCTTTACATGATAAATCTGTTTGTCAAACAACTTTTTGCTGAAGATTAAAAGATGTCTAATAAATGGAAACTGGTTTTCCGCTGACTTGTGCGGAATGTCTTACTTTTGAGGAAAATGCAATTTCTGTTTAGAGTACCGAGCAGAAAATGCAATTACCTTCAAATCCATCAAAAGCGACCTAATGCAAACAGTAGCGACACCTTCTGTGCAATCGGCTTACCTTAAACTAGCAATTTTCCATTCATCATTTTAGAAACATTCTTTAGATCAGGGCCATTTAGTACGGTAGAAAGTTGTTTGCTCCGAAAATTAACAGTGCCTCAATGCAGTGGGTGCAAATAATAAGGGCAATTTTGTAGAGTTTAAGGAGGAGTTTGGTGTTCCAAAATCTACCAAGCTTTGGGAAATTGGCATTAAGAGTGGCTCAAACGCAAGATTTCACTTGTGCTGCCATGACTTGCATAAGGCGACCTCGCTAGTTGGTCAGTGAAATTTGTGGGAGGACATACCTTTGTCAAGCGATATTCAACAATTTTGTCCTATTAATAATAAGTATACTGATTTTAGTGAAAGCGACTCGCATTTTCATTTTGAAATAGAAAGATGGAGAGGTTTTTTGCTTAGAAAGCAAATAAAAATTTCCAGAAATCTTTAAACGTTGGCACATTAATGACTTTGCCTTGGTTAGGTATTTCAGACGCATTACTAGTTAAAGGTTGTAGATTAAAGCGGAGGAAAATTTCCTCCTGGCTGGCTTATTTTTTTTGTCTTCAAAAGCTTTTTCCAATCGCTCTTCCGGATGTCTAATTACAACAGACATTTGTGGGCTGTTCTAACTGTCAGACTTGATAAATCTCATCAGAAAGTAGTCCCGCTAGGATGAATTTTTTTAAATGTTATTGAGGCAAAGATTAAAACTATTTATGGAACTTCAAATCTCCCTCCGGATGCTTATGACTTTGAAAAGGAATTGCTTTATTATTATTAGAATAACGTCTTCAAATACCTTGTAAGTTCTTAGCCTATTACCTATCGGGAAATTTGTTGCTGCTTTGAAGTTGTAAAGGTTAAATAGCGAGTCGGGAACAAAACAGCTAAACAGAATGCATATTTTGCTCTTTAAATACTTTTATGCAGACAAAAATACTAAAGACGATATTGTATAGCGCCTCAAGACTTCTATGAAGACAAAAGAAGATAGCACAATGACAGAATGTGCGTTATCGACGTACACGGGGGTTGAGGGCTACCAAAATGGCCAGGAAGCCAGGCCACCAAGTAAAAGTATAAAAGCGGCGTCTTTAGTGTCTGCTAAACCAAAACGAAGAGTTAAACGCATCGCCGAAGTGATATACAGCCCTCCCTTCCTCTTGAACGTCTTGCGGACGCTCCTCTTGATCAATGCACCCTGTCAGGCATCAAAAATTTGTCTGTGTCATAAGAAATACACGTTCCACCCAACCCTGTCATTTGGCAAACTTGACTGCAACGGAGAAGATATCTGACCGCAATTTCAATAATCCCTCTTGGTAATTCCACTAAATCTAGAGTTTTGTTCTATTTGGAAAATGTACTGAGGACAAATGGGAATGTGCAGGCTATCATTTATATTCATTGCCAAAAAGCAGAGCCATTAAATATAGAGGGGAATTAAAATTGTTTCGTGAGAGTAAGATATTACACCTATTTCCCTCTTCTACTTTGTTCTCACTTGGATTCTGCCAAGCCATACCTACCTTGATTCCACCCAGCTGGTAAAGCGGTAGAGGAGGTATCACATGTTCACATAAATGACATCTTCATACGACTACCGTAGCTAGCTTCGTAAGGAGTTTTCCAAATTGTTCACAGCTAATATCGTTTCAAGTGTTGGTAGCATTCTCTGGAACATGGGATTTGGGTAGTTGGCAGACGTCATTATAAACCCTCCTATTGGGGATCGTCACATATTCTTCCATCCTCCGCATGTGTCCTTCTGTCACGCTAAAGTTTAGCTAACAGTGATAGAAATCTGAGTAGTTGCCTATTGGAATAGGATTTGCCTAGTGCTGCCACCAACGCAGAGCCTAAAGGCTTTTCTAATGGTGAAAGAAGACATAATGCTTAGGAGGGTGCAGGAGGACTGTTGATGAGGCTACTGGCAAGGCCCAAAGGCCTTTCCTCCCAGCGAAAGTACAAAGGCGGAGCCTTAAGTGCCCTCAAAACCAAACCAAAAGTTCAACAATTAATCAAGATATTATAACTATGCTTTGTTCAAACCATGATGAATGAAGAGTATCATTATGCAAAATTCCTAAATGATTAGAACAAATAATGTGTTTTGTATGGTCATTTTATATCCATTTTTGGCCTTTGCTAGAACGAAAACCTTCCCTTCCATTCCTAATTAGAGAGGTGGACGAAAAGGACGGTTTTAAGGACCATATAAATCTGACTAAGAGATTATGAAAGGGCACATAAATGACCAAACTTTATATGCACTTATTATCTACTTGCCTAGTGAACTCAAATTAATGCCAACGAAGGAGCTTTAAATGACGTTTTTCAACTATATTTAAGAACTTTTAATGGCATTCACGTAGAAGTGTTTAGTGTGATGTTGTGTTAAATAATATTTTAAAATGTTCACTCGAGGATTTACAACAATTTTCATTTTTTAAAGCATTATGATAACTTACGTGGGTCGGGACTAACGTAAGTGCCTAAATAAAATTGTAGTTAGTAAGCATTTCAAAAGTCAATTACTACTGAACATACTTTGATTATCTTTTTAAGGTATACAATTCAATGCGTCCTTCCATTAAACATGTTTTTGGAGAAGATCTTCATTTTCCTCTGGTTCTGGCACTGCGCCCTGGGCATCATAACCTTGATCAGTTTTATCAACTGGTTCCTTCGCATGGGGTTCGCACGCTACCGGCTCAAATTCATCCGTCGTTACCTGAAAATTATGTGTGTAATGAAAGACACCGATCGAAGCGCCTCCAAGAAGTTTGTGGAGAACTTCCTACGACCAGACGGTATCTTTCTTATTCGCCTTATCTCCATGAATGTGGGTGATATTATGGCAGGCGATCTGGCCTGTGAACTCTGGCACATTTATCGACACAAACGGACACAAGATGTGGTGGTGGCAGAGGAGATGAAATATATTGAGCCAATACCTAACTACTTGGGCCATCCACAAGCTCCAGGGCTAAGGCATCACCACCCTGAAATTGGATTTATCACTGCCCCTGCTGCTCCTAGAAATGCTGGTGGTGGTGCTGGGGGTGGCGGGGGTGGAAATGGAGAGAAAGTAATGCTCAATGGAGATGACAGCATTGTCTAGGGCCCTAGCACCACATCTACTGCACCACTTTCCTTTTATCCTTGGACACGTCCCTTCCCTCTTCCATACAGATCCCTTCAACTGATAGGATTTTGTGATTTATTGTGAAGGTGTGTGGAGCAATGTACTAATCAACAAATGCATTAGCCGAATACAGACCTGCAAAAACAATCAGATTTCCCAACATGTGCAAGTTGGCCCTCGGGAGGACCATTTACTCTTCTTAATTTGAGAATGACCAGGTGTTCTCTCTCTTAACCTCTTAATGTCCATTGTGCCCTCCCCTGCATCCCCTTCCTACTCCCAAAACCCCTCTTTTTTATCCTTTGACAGTGGGATATCAGTTAAATGATATGTGCTCCTAAAGAAATGGGCTTATTTTGTTTTAATTCTAGAACAATTAGTGATGAAAATAATTGTGGGATAACTAGTAAAATGAAAACCAAATTAAATCACTTTAATAGACATACCAAGAGTGGATGAAAACAATACCCGGTTAGCAATTTGAAATCTGAAATTTCGTCCCTCTCCATGTTGCTTAAAATGAGGCTGACCATAATCCACTCTCATTGTGACAGGGTTTGTTCTGTTGTCATATTAAAACAAGGCCTATTGTGAAGGAACGGCGCTTTTGTTTTAACAAAAGCATCAATAAAACAAGAAAAATGCAATTAAAACCACTTTATATGGTGACAGCAGAAAACATACTCGTTATCTCCACCCATTGGCATTTATTTTATTGAAATGGGAGCATATAGTGCGATTTACTTGTCAGAAAAACTGAGAAGTGGGTTTAGTAACTGAGGTTAGTTCGTATTAAGGCAAAAAATTTTCCTAACCTTTAGTGTTTTTGCAGAAATCGTAAACAAGTTGTTTTTGCTGAAGAGGAAATTCTTGTTGAAAATACAGATAAGACTGACTATGATATCGTACTCTAAAGGAATCGCAAGGTTAAATTGTATTTTTGCTCAAAATATCCGCTCTCTTCTTATTCCTAGTTCCGTTTCTTACATGTAGGGTCTTGGTTTAAATAAGATTCTGGATATGGTTGAGCCTATTTCTGTCTTTACAGTCAGATTCTCCTGAGGTGGAAAGATGTTGCAATGGCAGGAAGTGTAAACAATAGCACAACAAACCAGATCTGGGGTCATTTCTTAACAATTTCTTATTCGTGGAATAAGATATTCTAGTTTTCCTATTACAGACAGTTAAAATAGCAGTATTGTGCATTTTATCGTCATGGTAACAAAGGTATCGCATTCTAATCAACGGAAAAATATCCAAATCATCTCTTTAAATAAAAAAATGAACTTGCAAAGAAGCTGCCTTGTTGTTGTTATTTATCTTTAGAACCTTCAGGAATGCGGAGTGAAAAATTTACCAAAATATCTTAAGACATACTCCTAGCAGTGCGGAGCGTTAGCGTGAGCATTCGGGATATTGTTCTTATTAGCTCAAATTAAAATGCTAATGAATTTTTACTCATTTTGGAGCTTTTTGCTGCTCTACTTTGGATATTTTGGATGAAAATCAAAGGCAATTTAATAATAAATGAAGGACTCTTTAATATTTAATCACTTGAGTGTTTATAGCAGTATTTTCGACTAACTCAATGGTGGGACTGTTAAAACTTCTCTTTCCATTTGAATGGCAATAGTGGTGAGCAACATCTGCTTAGCTAGCACATGTGGCATGTTAATGCCAACATGAATGAGATTATCAATTTAAATCGCTCAAGTAAATATCCTATCTAGTAAAAAATTTAACATCAATAAATTCTGAAGAATTCGTGAGGGTCAAAGAAATTGAGCATTTAACACCCCAACGGAATCTAAAAGAGGCTCAGCTATAGCCACTCGAGACGTCCTTGAAGACAAACGAAGACATAATGTTGGGGCGGAATATGCATTACCGATATACAGAGGGGCTGAGCGACTTCTGGCATGGCTTGGAAGCCATGCCATTGAGCGAAAGTACGACTGCGACGCCTTAGCAGGCGCGTAATCCAAGAGAAGAATTAAAGTAACTATCAAAGTATTGCATAACCTCCTATCATTTTAAGCGTATTTCTCGAAACTCCATTTGATCAACCTCCCGCGTAGGTCTTTACTACCTAATCACTGCTGCAAGGAAAAAAATTCAAAGACCCAACCTAACTAGCTATCAAATTTGCCTGCAACGGAGAGAGAGGACTGCAATGCCATTGATCCCTCATGGCAATTCAACAAGATTAGAAGTTTTGTCCTGTTGGAGATCTGCATTGGGGAAGGAGAAATGTGCTGGCCATCACCTAATCCATTGGTAATCGTACAAATTCTGACCTAAAGGCGCTGAATGAGTAAAGGACAGGTTTCATATGAATTTGTGGGATAAGTTTTCGCCTCCGCTGCTCCTCAGCACTTTGTTTTCATTCCAAAGCTGGCCAGACATCTGTCTGCGTTCCATCCAGCTAGTAGAGAGGTGGAGGAGGTATTACACGTTCACCACGTAGAAGTACCATAGGCAACTCCGTAGCAAACTATTTTAGGTGGTTCACGGCCACGGCCAGTGCCATTTCAGATAGTAATGGCATTCCTGAAAAACGCGGTACTGGGTAGTTGGCAAAGGTAAACGTCAGTCAAAGCCTTCTATTAGGCGTAGTTACAGAATCCTCCGTTCCTAGCTTATGCTCTTCCTCCGTCACATTAACATTCAGCATACTGAGATAGAAATTGGTGCAGTTGACCCAAAGGTAGCGTTTCCTTTCTTCTGTCGCCAACATAGTATTCTAAGTCTTTAGTAAAATCGAGGAAAATTATAATACTAGGGCAGAATATGTATTGCTATTGTACGAATTGGCTGGGGTCTACTGGCGTCGCCCAGATACCATGCCTTTCAGGAAAAGTACCAACGCGGAGCCTTAAGTGCCCTCAAAACCGAAAAGAAGAGTTTAACAAACAGCCAAAGCATTGCATAATTCACCATAAAATAAATTCTCTTTTAGTCAGAGTTGTCAAATTTACAAAACATTAAAATTAAAGTTACATTCATCCCAACACGGAATAATTTGTTGCATCATTAATCTTTTTATTTACAGGGGAGGATATCAGTTTTATTTTTTATCTAGCTTAAAATGTTCCTGTTTTCTCTACACGCATAGGAGAGCACTCTCCTCCTTTTAGTCCACTCACCGTAATTGCGCTCCACTTACAGTAACTGCATCGCACAAGCCCTCCTACTTTTGTGTTAAAAAATTCAGTAGAACTTACCTTACGCTACTGCCTTATGCATTGATAGGCAAAATCAAATACCGAAAACACTTTTGTAATAGGTAAGGATTCTTATGATAAAAGACGATGCTTCAGTAACAGTAGTCTTGATTGTTAATTAAATTGAAGATCATTTATGAAATTATAAGTCCATCAAGCGTCAAATAGTGGGTTTTATTATCGTTTTTATTCTAGTTAAACAAAAGCTTACATTACATTACATTAAACTTTTAACTTTTATCGGAAATAGTTAAGATTTGGTGGCAATCCAGATTCCCCATTTTCGGTGGCATGTAGCTGTAGTAATGATAGTTACTAACACCTCGGTGCTGTAAACTTACCGAATAACTTTATCTGTGATTTGAATTGGCTTTTAGCTTATTAATGTATGGCATAAGTTTTGCAGATTTAGTCTGCACACTTGAAGCATTTTTGACTTTTGAAAATGTCATGCGACATCTCGATTAATCTCTAAAAGGATAATGAGGTATACTAGTGCGGAGGAATGTTGGTTACTAGTTCAAGAAGGGCTGGCAGGCCATAGGCACAGATGAATAACCTTACCACCATGACAGTGATAAGAAACTTAAAGACGGAGGAGCTGAAGTGGTTAACTCTAAATTTAAACGAATGCAGTATTATCATAGTTGGATAGAATATGACTAAAAAGAATAAGTCTAAAGATACTCTCAGAGGTGTGGAATTTATCATGAATTTTTAAAGTGTTTAGTGTTCGGCTAACTTACTGGGGTTTCAAAAGTGATCTTTAATAATCTAATGGGAATCATCAAAAAGTCTGAAAGGCATGCAGCTCCGCTAATAGAATCACGGAGTACTTCGGCACACTGAAACAAAAGTTTCTACCTATCCTAAATTCATAAATTTTGAAGTATTATGCTTAAGACATTTTTAGCAGACAGAATTCACTCCACACCTTCTTGGAAACAATAAATAAAATCCCTTTCCACCAATAAAATCAGTTGATATTAAATGAACAAAGAGAGAATTTTCTACTAGATTGCTTGGGTTACTGCCCTTTTAAGTCGAAAAAACAACTTACATTTAGACTTACAGACAATTTAAGTTGGAATTCATAAGTTTTCTAACCTTTTACCCTAAAAGACGTCTAATAATGGCTGGAAATTTGAACCAGGTGGAAAAATATTCTTCAAGCATGACGCCTATTTCCTAGACAGACTACGCTCTTTCGGATCATTAAAGTTCTCCTCTGCTCTCCTCCTCACTGTGCTTGGACCTGCTGGTAACTGTCAACACGCACTTTCGATAATATTACCGAATTCTATTAAAAAGTTTCACTTGTTTTAATTCCCCATAATTTTCTCAAACTGCACATATTTAATGGTTTTGAGGTGACAAAAGTGTATTCTCTTTGCTTTCAAATAGACACAGAGCACCAAACATAAAGTTTACGTAAGACATTTAAGTACCTATACTGGTATCCTCACTAATGCCAGAAAAATGCCGAATGAACTTAGTATTGCTAATTTTGGTGTAGACTGTGGGTTAATTATTGTGTATTTTGGAATCAGCTTTTGTGAAATTCAAGAATTTCGGTAGTTTATACTTTGAATATATTCTCACTTATTAACCACTTGATGGTATTTTTATCATTGAGGAGTACATTCGACAGGGGGTTCTCATGTTTTAAATTCAGGGAGTAAAGATCTTCATCTGATACATTTTAATGCTACATTCAAACACTTAATCCCGCTTTTAACTAGCAATTGGAAAGCTTAGACAGGGCGGAAGACCTGTCAGTTTTGCTTAATCTTTCCGTACAGCCAGTTTTAACTTCAGAGTCGAAGTGGAAGTTTGTCATAGAAATAACTGCTATCAGTTCTCACAGAAGGCTTCGACTTCTATTCGTTTGCATGGCAGATTATACGTCCGTTCCCTACCAGGGTGAAGCATTTTTCACACTTAAGGTGGAATGGGATCTACTGCAGCCTACCGTGCAGTGCTACTGCCGGCTGGAATACTGACTCTATACAAATTTTTTATTGTTGAGAATAGGGGCACCACATTACCACAAAATCTGTGTCTGAAGCCATTTTAGGTATCAGTAGATATCTGCGCATCCGCTGTTCCACTTTATTTACCGCTAACACTGTCGCCATCCACCGTGATATGGACATAAGTGGAAGGCAATTAACACTTACTATTCTCTACATTATCCTTGCAGTAGCATCCTCCCTTGTGCATGCAGAATTTGAAGTCGCGGTTCTATTTAAATTGTCTCGCTAATTGGGATTTTTTATCGAAAATAAAAGTAAGAGAAAAATACTGCGCATAACCTACCCCGCTCGAGTAACCTTCCTTTGTTTTCCATTAATGACTTATCTAATCCACATACTATAACAAAAGCCTACTCCACTTCAAGTCACCATTGTAAAATTCCCACTAGAAAAAAAAATTACTCGCCTGTTTACTTTGGCCAACGCACGAAAGATTCCATTTTGGATACTACTATGGGGGCTTCTTTTTGTCCATTAATGTTTGATATATTAACCACAGTACTTGGCATGCTGCTAATCAAGGCAATCATTTGATTTTGCACAGCAGTATGGAGTAAATAGTTTTAGATCTAGTCACGCAAATTACTCTACCCTTTCTTGCTAGCTCGGTATTTCTATCAAATTCTCATTAGGGCACGCCCAAGGGCGTTCCAAGTAAACAAATAGATGCTTTTAGACAAACTGAATCTCTATGTGATTCAGGTGTCCATTATTTGAACATTTAGTAGCAGATGCCATATTCAATGCCCTAAATGTAGCCATCTTAATTAGGCTTTGAAGAAGAAGAAACGTGAAGAGAGAGTGAAGTGCTAATCATAACGTGAACGAAGTAATCAAATAGTTAAAAGCTCCAGCGTGATGGCGGTCTTAGTTTTTTAGCTGACAGGTGGCTGATAGGGAGACGGGATGTCATTTGAATAAGATTAATTTCGATTAACTGAATTATCAGCCAGACGCCATCATCTCTCAGCTTTGTGGCTTAATCCGTCCGGGATTTAAATGCATCCGACAACTGAGCAGAACCGCTTTGAAAGTACCTACTTCATTATGTCCCACAGGAAGGTTCATTAATGTTGCTATAAAGGTCAATCTTCTGACGCTCATCCGCCTGAATTCAGAGGAGGAGGAATCCATTTAAAGAACCGATTTTCCTCTCTTTACTTCCTTAGACCACTTTGAAAAGGTTATTATTAATTGTTTTTACAGGGATTTATTTGTATACATTTGTTTTTGCTGTTGAATTCTCGGACCAGCAATACATTGCACCAAACTAAAACTACTTCTTTAAAAATTAAAATTTTTGATTTATATGGTCAAAGAGAGTCTTCTATAGTTTAGACCCAATGTTTTTTGCGAGCCTATCACTTACATTTCATGTTTCACTTTTTTTAGGTCTCTATGTGGCTATACTGATTTTACAACAGCCATCATAGGCATTTGATATAAGAATCATTAACCCACTTACACGTCTATAAAATTACCCTTGAAGTCCATTTTAGTAGAGACCGAAGGCTACAATTCCTTTAAGAAACGAGACAAACCCCTGTGCTCACAAAAATGATTTACCGACACTTAAAGACACTGAAGTAGGTACTTAAGGGCATCGGAGCGAAATACAAAATTATGGAGATAACACAGACTCTACATAAACTACTGTCAGTACAATTTCTAGCTAGCTGTTTCCGTATTTTAAGCACCAGTTAGGTATTTGTATTGACAAGCTTATCCAACCTTGTCCGATCTGAACAATGTGCTTTTGTTAGTAGTGGAGTTCAGAGTCTCGTCATTTTCGGGGAAAGCACATGCAATTTCCATGTCAAGACTTACAAAAATGCCAAAACTTGCTCTTACGCGACCAACTTTAGAGCTGTAATAATTTAAGATGACAATTATGTTTCTTGGGGGCTTACAAGATTTGGCTGCCACTTTATGATTTTAAGCCGCCTGTTTTGTCCCACTGTTGATTTGAATGGTTAATCACCAAGAGGATAAATTGAATGTCTCAAATGGCTTGAGATACAAGTTTAATTAATGTAAATTAAAATGCTCAACATCGAGCACATCTAATTGTCAATTTTTACGAACGGCTGTTACATTAAAGCATTAAGATGGTGCGACCTGGGTGTCAATTTTGAGGATATGCCCTGGCCCCTTTTAGCGTCATCGCCTTTTAAAAGCATCAGAAAATAATAAAAAATTTCACTAATTGAATTCAAAACTGATCACCCCTATATTTTACGCATTTAGAAAAATAATATGCATTTTGACATCAGAAAACGAGTCAGTGATGTCATCAAAGACAAAAGGGGGAGGGATCAAAAGTAGTTTGAGTGTTTTTACAACCTCGAAATATTGTGTCAAAGTGATAAAGCAATCAGGTGCCTACTTCAGCCATTTAAATACAAGTACTTTTAAAGCAAAAACTATGTTGCTACATCTCAATTACATGGAGATTTGTGATTTTATTGCTGCACAGATATTTTATACATAAATCAGAACCTTCTCGTCAAATCCAGTTTAGTTCCTGAAAGCCATTCAGTGATTTTTCTTCTGCAAACTGAAAAACTGGTCTTCTTACCTTGAAGATGGAAAGTATTTTGTCTGTACATAAGTGAATTTTCTGTCAGCTTGTTGTCTGACATTGAAAAACGGAAGTCTTTTAGCTGCACTAGTTTCTAATGGCGTCACCAAGTTGATGCGAGATCCCGATCACTAGATTTCGAATATTTTTTGCTCATACTTTTAGCACTGTCTCATGTGGCCGCTTAACAATTCGTGCTTTACCTCATTTCTGTACCCTTAAACAAATTTCAAGGAAAAGAAATGTTAGTCATCGTAATTCTTGACAGAAATTACTTTTCGAAATGTATATAACCATGTTTAAAAGGAAGAAATCGGCTGAAAGCGACCAGGTTTATATCGTTTTGTCCAAAGGAAGGAGTGAATTGGTACATAAAATGAAAACATTACGCTTTTGGTCTATTAAAGCAGTGACTGTTAGGAAATAAGGAACAATGATCATTGTAGAGACGGCTCAAGTTAAAACGCTACAAGCGTCCCTTTCACTAAGGATCCCACGTCGAATTTGCTTATATCACACTATAAATTGGCATTTTGTTAAATCCTGCTTTGCTTTATGATTTGAAGCTAATGCGAAATTCAACCTAAGCAAAAATCAATTTATGATAGGATGATAATTGCCGCTAGACAGTATATTTGTCCTCCTGTGATTTGCGATTCGCTTTAAAGCCGAGATATAATCTTAACGATTTTTTCTTGGATTTTATTACTTTTCGCTCACCATATGTAGAGAAACAAAAGCAATCTTACAACTACGTAACACTTGCATAAACTCAACATGTATACCATAAACGACGTCACGATATTCCTTATTCAGTCCGTACAGGATATGCTACCGGTAAATTAGCAGTACGAGGGCTTTTTAACTTGAATCAGCAAATTTAATGCTCAAAAAGGCCAAGGAAAGAATGCTTAACAATATCATACTAGCTTTTATAAAGACACAGTTAAAAAAGTTGCTTGATTTTGTAAAACTATGGCTAACAAATCGAAGGGGAAAATGATAATTGTAAAAGGCATACAAATGGAGTCAGGTTAACTTAGCATTACAATAAATTATGATATCATACAAAACCCAGGAGCAAGACAAAAACGGTTAAATAATTGGAGTTGCTTTGGACAATTAGCATAATTTTAGCACCCACATGCCGTTTACGTTAGGCTAATGACTAACCGCAAAAAGCCAAAAATAGATTAGACAATATTTCCCTGGCAGATATAGTTCCCCAGATATTCACACACGAATAAGTAAAAAGCACTTTATGCTGAATATTTTACAGCTAGAGGGTTGTATTTGACGACGCATATGAAAGCAAGAAGTACATTCTTTTTAAATTGGTGACTGTGTATTGAATACGCTGTAGGCACCTGTCATCAATGAATGCTGAGGTGACTGAGGCTGTATATCCTGTTGCTCTGGTTCATCTCTCGGAAGAATAGCTTCATTTAACTTCATAAAATCCGTGCTTTTAATCCAATCCCGACCAATGCGTACTCCAAAAGCGATCATTAATATAATTGCAATAATGATCAACAGGATTCCAAATGGTAAGAAGAGATCCTTGTTAGTATAATCGTAAACATAATTCCGACAAATAAAAAGAAACAAAGTTCCTAGCACTAAAACTCCAAAGCCAAAGGCAAGGGCAATGTAATTGAGCTTAAATGCAGCAAAGTCATTTCGAGGATACATCCAGGTAATTTAGCATATCGGGAAATGCACAGTATTTCGCGGTATTTTCGGTTCAAGGACATAGTTTACTCGTTGGCACACTTAAACGAAAGCACTTTTGTTAAGTAATTGCAAACAATTTTTTGTGCACAGTTGATGCAAAACTAGAATTTTACTTCGATAACAAATAACATTCTTTGATTGTATGTCGTCGGTTAACTTAATTCTGCATCAAGTAAAATCTTTTCAGTTGGAATAATTAAGGCTGCATATATGCTCTTACCAGCATTAAATGCAAACAAATATATTTTTTAATGTATACATCAAATACACGTTTACATCAACACTCGAGATGACGAGTGCAGAGGTTTGATACACAATCTATGCGCTCAACTTTACAACTTTAACTGTTTAGTTATTAAGAATCCCTAGCTCTAACATATCCGGCTTCTATTTGACGCGGTTCTGCAAAAGACAAGCTACTCACTCTTTATGTAGTTACTAGGCCTAACAGATTTGCGAGTTCATGTCAGTGACCTCAACAATTCCACTGTAATCTCTCTATCAATGAACGAGACAATGAACAATAGAAGGGCCTGATGCAGCAGGACGTGTTGACGATTCTAACGAGCCATTAGAGACAGTGTTTTGTACTGTGCGATAGACCTATTTGGATCTCATATCGTCTAGGTAACTCAGTCCGACAAATCCGATCTATAGCGCCCCGGAAATTTCCTAAAGACGAACAAGGACACAATGCTCTAGCTGAATATGTGCTCAGCATGCAAAGTTACTAGGGCTACTGGCATGGCTTGGAGGCCAGCCAGCCGCCCAGAGAGGTACATTAGTCGAGACAAAAGTGATCCTTCATCAAAACCGGGAGTTAAACAGCCAACGTATTACAGATCACAAGTCAGAATCATATTTTCGTCTTTATGAATGACAAGTACGACAGCACTACACAGTTTGCATCAGATGTCATAGGTTGACACATCTGAGCCTGTTTGTTCTATACCTTCTAAAGGATCAATTTGAGACCCGAATTCGTGACAGCATGGTAAGCAACGTGTGCAATTTTACCTATGCCTCCGTGGAAAGTACAAATCACAAGTAGTTAAGATGAATGTTTTGCTTAGACACGACGTTACGAAAGGCACACAGCGAATAAGTACTAAATTAAGGTCTCAGAACGGGTTTTTTACGTAGAAGAACCGCTCTATTACAGCACTGCTTTGAAGATATGCCTAACATGGGAAATCCGCTCTTCTTCGACGCTAAACGCTAGTACAACGACAAGAAGTTAAATTAACAACACTTGCCTGTAAAAAGTTACTATCGGAAACTCAACTACTTTTAACTAAGCGGGACACAGTAAGAGGATTATTCAAACAAATTTCTGGGTATTTTGCCCTAACACCAAATCAGTCTAAATGGCATTGGTAAGTAATAACTGGCAAATCTCTTAAATGCATGCGTATCAGCAATTATTTGGCTTTATTAGCAAAACGGCGCCAAAAAAAACATTGAAATGAGGAAGATAACGAAATTTGATTCTCATATATAAAACCTGAAGTCACTAAATACTACTGTGGATGGTAACATTGAAGAGCAAATTTTAATCCCTATTCAAGGTTAGCTTAGCTCAGTAGTTTGTTAAACATTTTGCAGGTTTTTTCTTCCATCATGCGGAAGAGTTTTGGAGGAGACTTAAAATCACCGCTAACGCTAAACAATGTTCAGTAGATAGGTTGAAGGATTTCGCTTGCGCGTAATCACCTGATTTTTATTCTGTTTTACTTAATTTTGTTAATTTTATTCCTCGGAAAAAATTATGACACTTAGAAGTTCTGTCAGACAACTATGAAAGCTAAAAAGTCGTTTTGCATCTGACTTGTGTTAAAATCCACCACTAATTTAATGTAATTACATCTAATTAAAATTCGTATTAAGTGGGGTAATGACATTTTCCGAAAAGGTTATGTAGCGTCCCGAGACTTCCCTGAAGACGAAAGAAGATAATGCTCGGGCAGAATATGTATTCAGCACAGAAAAGGTGTCTGGGCTATTGGCATGGCTCAAAGGCCAGCCCACCCAGCGAGGCACAAGAAGGCTGGTCCAAAGTACAAAAGCTGCGCCTCACCAATACCGAGGGATAAACCACCATCGTATTACATGGCCTGCCTCCTCTTTTGAGCGCCGTCCCCGGCGCTCCCTCAAGTCAACATCTCGCGTCAGCCATTACAACGTAGTCGGTGCTGTAAAGAAACACCCGCGATCCGACCGTGCCAGTCACCAAATTAGCGTGCAACTCAGGATATACTTAACCTCAACGTCACTGATCCCTCTTGGCAGCTTAACTGGATCTGAAGTTTCGTCTGGTTTAGGAACTTGATTCAGGACGGGGAATTGCGCTGGCCATCATGCGTGTCGATAGATAGATGCAGGAACACTGGCCTAAAAGCAGATTTGAATAAGGGAATACAAGATTTAAAACAGATCCATGGGGGACGGTAGGGGAAATCTGTAACGAAACTTCCAGATGGTTCACGGCTAGTGTCGCTTCAGTTGTTAATAGCTTTTCTTCAGAACACGGGACTGGGATAGGTGCCGAAGGTAGAGGTCGACTTAAACCCTTCTATTAGGGGTCATCATCATTCTCCCATCCGTAGCATATGTACTTCTTCCGCTCCACTAAGGCTCATCACGCAGAAGTGGAAAATCAGGATACATGTCCTTTAAGATCGGGTTCCCTTTCCGATGCCACAAATGTAGCGTCCCGAAACTCTCTGAAGACGAAAGAAGACAAAATACTCAGCAGAATATATATTCAGCGCGGAGAAGGTGGCTGAGCTATTAGCATGGCCCGAAAGACCAGCCCACCCAGCGAGGTACAAGAGAGCCAATTCAAAGTACAAAAGTGGAGCCTCACTAATGCCGAGGGATAGACCACAATCGTATTTCATTAACTTTGATTTTGGAATAAATACACATTTTCTGCATTAGTTCTTGAGCAAGTGCAAGCGGACACGGAACCTTAATGCTTTATTTACTGATTGATGCCCGAAAAATTGTATGAACACTTATGCATCCTTGAATTTTACCGTCCTCATTTCATCACCAATTTTTGGTGCATGTTGACTGCGATTTTACATTGCTATAAGCACAACTGAATAGCCTATATTATTTTATTGAAGGAGGCGTCCACTTTTATATATTTTTTTCACCAAATCAGCTTTTTTGAGTGGCAAAAACATTGTATCAGCGATTGCGCAGATTACATCGTTCACACATACAAAATAAATTGAGGTAGCTCGATTTTATCTTAATCACCAAATCGGGCTTAAGGCGATTTTCTTTTCCAGTCTTTCTCAATGCAATTTACTTTCCAGAGTTTTGATTTTTGTGTTCATTTTAAGTTAAAGTTTAAGAAGAAAGGATCAATTTCTCTGGGCTTTAACTGAACTTCTTTTTTCCTAAAGTAAATAAAACTGGTACAAGATAATATTGCCACCTATTAAACTAGTAGTTATTGAGAGCAGAGTGAAATGATAGCTCCCTCAGACTTGTCTGAAGACAAAAGAAGTAACAATACTAGGGTAGAAAATGTTGCCGACGTAGAGAAGGACTGGCGGCTACCGGCATGGCCTACAGTCCATATTACCCACCTGAAGTGCAGAAGCGGGGCTTCAGATGGCCTGGAAACCAAGACAGAAAGTTAAACAAACTATCGGAGTGTTGCCAGCGCATCTTACGTCTTTTATCCTTGTTTGAAGACAAATAAGGTCATAATATCAGGCCAGAAACCGCATTACCGACTTATGGAAGGTGTGAGGAGATAACTGAGTTGCTCAGACCCCATGATACCCAGTGAACCCACAACCGCGGGACCTTAGGCGTCTTTGAAACCAAAAGGAAGGGTCAAACAAATTATGAAAGTATTGGAACACCTTCCTCTACTTTTGAGCATCGGCCCTTTGATCATCTGCGTAGCTGATGCTATGTGAAGAGCACTTACGAACCAAAGACGGCTGTCAGTGGATTTGCGTGCAACTGAAAAAATATCTGACAGCGGGGCTGCTGATTCCTCTTAGTAATTTCATTTAATCTGGAGTTTCTTGCAGTTTCATAACTGTATTCGCTCATTACGTATGTCCATCGCCAGTTCTAAGTACACTGGCCTATAAGCAGAGTCATTTGATAAAGGACGAGGATGAAAATAGTTTCATGGTGGTTAAGTTTCGCGCCTATTCCTCCTTGCCACGTTGTTCTCACTTCAAAGCCGTTCAGCCATATCTGCCTACGTTCTGCCCGGCCAGTAGAGAAGTGGTGGCGGTATCGTGTGTTCACGTAGTTGACATCTTCATGTAGGTACCATAGACAGCTTTGTGTAAAACTTTCCATAAGACTCACAGCCCGAGATAGAGTCGCTTTAGCTGTTAATAGTGATCCTGTAGAAAATGGAGATGGGGTAGATGCGGACAATAGACCTCCACTTTCACCCTTCTGTTAGGGATCATAGCAAATTCTTTCATCCGCAGCATTTGTTCTCCCATCGTCAAGGTAAGGTTCAGCATTGAGTAATAAATATCAAAGTAGGTGTCTCTTACGGTCGGGATTGTTCCCCACTGCCTCCAATGTAACACGTTCAGACTTCCACGAAGAAGAATGAAGTAATAATACTAGAGCGGAATGTGTATTGCCGACGTACCGAAGGGCCAAGCGGCTATTGACAATGGCCTCCGGGCTATATCACCCAGTGGGAGTACAGAGACGGATCCTTTAGTACCCCAAATTCGAATCAAAGGGCTTAAGAACAATTAAAGCATTACATTACGCCCAGTTAGTGCAATTAATAACCTTCCCAACAATATCAAGTGGTTATGCCGTTGAATGGCCAATGCGATCTAAATCACATTGCCATTTACTGTTTGATTTGAAGATGTGTTTATCACCTCTATTGCAGTTGTAAGCAGAACAGATAATTAGCTTGCCCCTTTTGCGATTTTTATCAGATCACTGGAAGGGGAATTCCGATGTCATTTAATTTGTATCATTTCGCAAGCGTCAATCAGCAATTTTTCTGGCTTTTAAGCCCTGCTGATTTAGTTATATGGAATAACGAATGCTGGTTTGATAAATGATGCTCATAGAGGGGGAAAATTGGCTTTTATAAAGAGAGTGAAAATGGGTTAGCAAAATACGTCTGCCATGTTTACGTATGGTATTTTTAAGCCAAGATGTGAATGCACATGATAACTTGGCATGAGAAACCGATCCTTTGACCAAAGAATCCATTTATGAAATGTCGGAAGTAAAGCTTCTCTTAAATAATAATAAAATCTTGAGGTCTTGTTGGAGGAGCCCCAAAAAATGCATTTCATCATCACTTACCGACTTTATATTTCCTATTATCTCTTCTGCTATTCCTTTAGTATAAGACGCCGAAAGCGAGTGAAGTAAATAACTAATAGAAGCAGACCTCTTTAGCATCATGAGCAACCCTTAACTCAATTTATAGTAAATTTTACGGTTAATTGATAACCATTTACTTAATTCCCTGTTATTACCATCCACAGGCAGAGGATGCATCTCAAGGTAACAGCAAATTAAGGGAGAATTGCGGAAATTTGGAAACTAAATTAAAGGCGGTGACATTGTTTGATGTGCAACTGAATGAAGGAGTTAAAATATGACTAGCACATCAATAAAATATTAATATGTAATTTAAATGATTTCATTCTTTGCACTTTGACATAATTCTTACATGACAGTGCAAGCGAATTTGTTTATGCTATTAAGACGTACTGTCTAATTCCAAGTAATCTTAAAATAACAAGGGTTTCTTTTTTTATCCGGAATCTTGAGATTGCGTTTAGCTTTTAAGGAGAATTTTCTATGGAAATTCCAAAAACTTTGCGCAATTCTTGCTATGTGGTATGAAATTTGGAAAATTTTTCTACAGCCCTCTATTTTGGGCTTCATTCACTATTCAGCAAACGGCTTTTGATCTTTCTAGCTCAAGATATAGAAATAATGTTTTTGGCTTCGCCAATGCACAGCCATAGACTTAGCGATTCTAGTAACAGGAAAAGCCCCAATCAACTAAAAATCCTCATGTGAAACTGGATGCAAGCATTCAATTAAATATTCAAATTGAGAACAGTTTCGTTTGCCCACTCTTTAATATTATGAACATTTTCGGTCACCTTAGAAACCGAAAATAATGTAATTCCAAGTACTCTTGAGGGCTAAAAGTGATGCTGCAATCTTGCATGAATATCCGAAATTGGCCCTACTGAATAGCCATATAGTACACCAAGGATATCCAAAGCATATTTTGCATTCGAATATTGCCGTCAATAACAATATACATGCTATTTTTGTAACTGCCTCCAACTACAAACCATGGATATTTTTGCCTATTAATCTAAAACACTTTAATTAACACTAGCAAGAGAGTTAGTCACCATTATTGCTTCTAAATGAAGCGGTAGAATTTCTTAACTTTATGTCAATATCATTTTTAGGTTATGGAAAAGGTAACAATTATTTACATAATGTAAATTCACGTAATAATCATAACTTAGTCCATCATTTACACTGACTTAGCTGCCTACATATCTCATGTATCTCATAGGTTTTACCGTATACCTTATTCAAGCTAAATAAAATCTGATGGTAAAGTTGGAAATGCACTATAAGCTTCCAATGTAAAAGAAAAAGCAATACATTGCATATACAGATTGAAGGCTTGTATAACAATGAAAAGGGGGCACTCAAGTAGTACACACCCTTAAACACTAATACTTTGCAGGTTATGCTTTTGTTTGGTTAGTATTTCGTGCATTCTAGGGAAGGGATTAAAGCATGTGCATGAAATACGAGTTTAATGAGTGCCAAACCCATCTTTTCTTCCTTATTGGGTGGTTCAAAAATGATTACTGTGCCCAGGCTTAGTCGTTTTAATTAGAGAAATTCTACAAAAAGGTAGATGCCAACCAGGCAGGGTGGATATTGTGGCTAGGGTACCTCCATCTTCGGTACACTTCACTTGTCCCTCCCCTTTCATTCAATAGATTCATTGGGGTGTGTCTTAACAGAAGTACATGCAATATATTACCTTCCTGATTCCTCATCTTGCTAAACAACCATGTGAGTTTGTATTCACAAAAGGGGACACCGTCGTTGGTGGAAAGAGACACAGGTTTAGCGGATCGATAGAAGACGGCAACACAGATGGATGAACGATGCCCATCTATGATCAGATCGAAGCGTTTATCTTTCATAGTGTCGAATCACAAGATTATTATGGATGAAATCTTTTCACAAGAGAAGAAAAATGGTATCATTTGGCTTCCTAAGACACTCAGCCCTACTGAGGGAATGTTTGAGTAAACAAAGGCATTGCCCTTCCTCTTGCATGAAATACCCAGGGAGAAGATAAGGCAAATTCGCCAGCCATAAATTAAAATGCCAGATTTGAAGTAGAGGACGTGGTTGTAAAGATGGCGGAACTTCTGCCATCAGTCAAAGTTTTTTTTAAATCGGAATTGACTACCACCGCTATATTATACCTTTGCTTATGGGGCATCCCAAATTAACGGCGTCATTTGCGTGTCGAAACAGCGTAAAAACAGTGCAATCCCTTCTCTAACCCAGCAATATTTGTTTTTCATCTAGTACTATGCCTTCTTTCGTCTCTAGGAGAGACCCGGGGGACTACAGTTGTTCTGACTCACAATTGTGGGGAAAATAGCAGGCAGATCATTGGGATCGTAGCTGAAAAAGAATTTTTGTAAATGGGATAAGTAAATTTAAGAAAAATAATGTGTGGAACTTAGATTTGTGTCTTTTGTTCAAGTTTGCACAGAAATTATGTAAGGTGAAGCATGATGAGATATATCAACGGCGCTTTCCGAGTCGCAGGTTCTTTAATCGACTAAGAACCTCCAATTATTGCATTGGCGCAACAAATCTACTCCACATACATAGATGTCAAGAATTTTTTTTGTAGAAACGGATGTAAAACTATGAAATACTCTAAAAAATATTTTAAAAATGAATATAAGCCTAAATCCATCCATACAATCCATACAATTTTATATTTAATTACAGTTGGCTTCGTTTCAGACGGCAAATTTTGCATTTCTTTGCGTACATAAAATTCGGTATAGTATGGTGCTTTATTCAATCCCAGTTTAAATACTTGCTAATCTCTTTGCTTCATTGTTGCTGAATTGATGCATTGAATCATTACTATAAAAGAAATCAGAAAGGGAACTTAAGATAACCTCTTTGGAAGGCTGATCTTGCAGTCCACGACAAAGGCAAATAGCCAGACCGCAAAGTAGAAGTTATAAAGTTATTGTAAAAATGGCGCAGTTGTAAACAAAGACTCTTACAGCCTCAGCTTCCTAAAATTACATTTTCACAGGCGCCTATTTGTAAAAAATTAGGCATCACTTATGGGACAAAACATCGGTACTAATTGCCCTGTTCCAGCGCATGCCTTTGATGAGCATCACACGTACAAAAGGTTCGGTTTTTTCCGTATTTTTTTTGTGTAAGTGTTCACAAAGGTCTTTGTTTTTCAGTTGTGCTTTTTTCTCTTTACTTGGTGCAGTGATAACAGCTGACTTGTTTACTGTAAAACAATTTTAAGTAGAAAGGCAGCTAGGTTCAGTAACTTATGAATTTTATTTGCCTGGTTGTAAAAATGTCCTGGAGGTGAAACATTGACACCGTCTTGTGACAGTTTTGGTTTGCTGTTTTATCACACTGCAAAAATACTTTAAACAGAACCACGCTAATACTGAGTAAAAATGTAAAATGAGAAAAAAGCCAAGTAATGGTCAAAATAACCCTCCCGCATTCCAAGATACGGATCATGATTTACCTAATTTAAAATACAAGTTAGCTCTCTAACGGTGCCATTTAAATTACTGACAAGATAAGTTGGTTCATCTTAGTGACTTGCTAATTTATTTAAGTACTTGAATTATCTTTGGAGATGTTATGGGATACCTGAGTGAGGAGGTGGCTCAAAAATAGAGCCGGGACGCTGGTAGCATTAAGCTATGTGGGGAGAGCGAGGGAGAGAAAAGACCTGCTTATCATTACGTACTATCATGACAAGCGTCACTTCTTCACAATGGTGTAATGCCAATAAAAAAAAGATTTAAAAGAACTTAATGGCGCCTTTGATGCAAAATCCATTTATCTTCTTTATCGTACTTCTGTGATTCAAGTGTTCTATGGCTGTGGCAATAGTAAAGGTATCGAAGCCTTCCTGCATTTGCGTGCTTGGTTCGGTATATGTCCAACACTGGCACCAAGAATTTATGCGATAGCATACCACTATATACATTTGTCCTGGTCTAGATCTCCTTCCGCATCTTAACTTATCTATTTTAAGTGGAATGATTCCATTGATCGCCATTTGCAGGTCAAATATCCGATTGATTTATTGCTTCCACCACGGACCACAGGTGCAAAAGAGAAAGGGCCGTTCGACTAATTCACGGTTTCCTGCAATTGCTTAAAAGGTGATCATATTTAAAGAAAGGCAATAGACCACCGTTGTAGCAACTGGAACGATGCAGTAGTCAAAGTGAAGGACTAAAAATATCGACTTTAAAACTTATAGCTGAAGGAAATGTGGTGTTTTGAGCTTTCTAGTCTAATGTAAGCGATGTGAATAGAATATGGCTTAACCGTATTCTTAGAGGGAGTATTAATGGTGCTATCTTATAGTCTGCACTCTTTTAATGGTTACTAGCTAAGGCCACGTGAATTCAACATGCAAAATGGTGCTACCTCATGTTTGTTACATCTCCTTTTCGTCCTCAAGTCAGTCGAATTCTGCATCCGAAAGTCAAATGGGGAGCGTTTTTTATTTAGCATGCTAGGGTAGAAGACAATAAATACCTTTATTTTAGTAATACGGATATGTCAAAAAGTCGGGAGTCGAGAAGAATGAGCGTTTAGGTCATGACGCTCCATATCGTGTGCCATTAACTCAAACGCCAACAACCTGTAGCATATTTGCAAAGAGTCGGACATAAGGATTTTTTAATGAAACTCAACCATTGTGATCTTTGATGGGAGGTATGTGATAGTTGGCTCTACTTGACATCCAGTCATCCCTAAAATAATTTATTGGCGAAACAGGAAGACCATAGGCATTAATGGATACCATAACATTAAAAAGGAGGTGAAAATGTATAGCTGAATTGACATTTAAATAAATACCTTTGTGATACATTTAAACGTGATCGTCGACTCTACTTGCATTCGCTTTTCTGCTCTGATTCCTTTGAACTCAGACCACCTAGAAGACAGAATGGCTAACATCTAGAAAATATCACCTATTTTACTAGTTGCGCTAAATATTCTGGTTCTATTTGCGATTCCCAAGTACCACGTTCTTTGTAATAGAAGCTGAGTCTACGAAGAACTCTTTGAAAACAGTACTAAAGACTGGACATTTTTCATAGCAGGAATATTCCATATACCTATTAATCTTCACGATAGTGTTCGCCTACATACAACACGAGATAAAAGTGTCTTATTCTTAGAAGCACGCAGCACTTGGGGATTAATCTGGATCCATTGCAGCCCGACCTTGCTCTACTAGGGGCAATTTCGCAGAACTGATAATGTGGCATTCGCAAGGAAGTTACCAATGTTTCAAAAACTCCTAATTTGCTAGTCTTTGCAAATTTAACCGTCAATATCAGATGTCGTTCCATGGTGCTTAGATCTTGTAACCAATTAATGAAATCAGAATTGTCATTTGCTTGTGCTGGCCTCCTGCCGCTGCCATCGATGCGGCTCTTTAAGTCATCTCTGGAGACATAATGAAGGATAGTGGTGTGGAGGAAGACCTATTAGTAGTATGCAGAAAGGCTGAACCATCGTAAGCGCTAACGGTAGGAAGAGCGGGAAGTAAAAGTCAATGTAGACATTTGTAAATTCGGATCTATGAGTAGCCACCCGACTAACCTTGAAGATGCTTCCATAACAGCCGTAGATATCTAAATTTGTACATTTTACAACCGCGTATTTAGCAGAAGGGAAATTCTCTAATATAGTAAACAATTTAATTTACCCCTGAACAAAAAATAAGCTGTTTTTTGACATATTTGGGAGGCAGTAAGCAAGATTAACGCATTAATATCTCATTACTCAAATAATAAATTTGTGGATCCCCAATTTTGTGACTTGTGGGCCTAATCATCTAAATACAGTTCCGTATTTTTTCGCAAAACTCCACTTTATTATAATTAGACCATTAAAACGAGCAATATTTTCCGAGTTTATGGATCAAAAGAGGGCGTTAATTTTTACCCTACGCAATCATTCATCACGGTGAGTGACCTATTGCCAAATCTTGAAGCAAGCCACATAACCTAAGAGCATAGAGCCAACGACGAGATCCAAAATTGAGAAGTTAATAAATTGACCACTGTCAAAGTACTTTTGATCACATTACTTCGGTTTCGGAATGTGTTCCCTGAGTTCATCCATGGATTAATAGACATTAATCATTTAAACCATCTTTATGAATTCATGAAGGGATAGTAATTCCTAAAATAACTGTCACCACTGTTGTTTTGAAGAGTTTCCTAATTAATTTATGGGAATCTTTGTATTTGTAAAGTATTTTGAAGTGAATTTATACTTCTATGGCCATATGGATGAGATCGTGTAATCTGTAAGACGTGGCAACTAACCCATTGAAGAGAACATACTGAAGTTGAATATCATACAAATTCATATCATGGTATTGCCTAGACAAAAAGTGGTGCTAGTCGTCCTAAAGAATAAAACAGCTTGAGAGTAAAGAATATGACACATCATACGTGAATCACTCTGCGTTGTAAACAAGTGGTCGCCACGAGTTGGTGCTTCAAATGAACATGTCCCACTGCATTGTCTTTCCCTATAACGCTTTTCCACTATCTTTCCACTAAGTCACCCGCAAACAAGGGTTAAATGACCTTCACTGTAAAAAGCCGAATTAAAATACTGTAAATTAAATCAATTTAAATCAGTACAACTTTAGCGGATACATTAGGTAGATAATTCCAAGTCTTAAGGCTCAAAGTTCTTTGTGAAGGCTAACAAAAAAATACTTTGCAACTCTTTGTAATATCAATTACTCCTAAAATTAGAACTAATTTTGAGTCGACCAAGTAAATGACTTGCTGTCCCCACATTTTGAAGGGCGAACAAAAATTTTAAACATGATTCAACTGCTCTCAGTTACTTTAAAAGTAGCCGAAGCATCATGCAGTGGGAGAAAGTTCTCTAGCTTATGAAAACCCGATACCTATGAACAAATACTGAAACCTGGACAGCGAGTAATATAAAGGTGACCTGCACGTTAGCTAGATGATAAACTGTACGGATTATCACTGAATTTGGAAAAATTTTCTATGTTAGTCTAATTTATGTGGCGTTGTACATGCGAATCAAATGTCATCAAATGTGGTAACTCTTCCCTTCCTAATAGTAATTTCTGCCTAATACTATCGTTTTGTGTAAAAAAAACCTAGAATCACTAGAAGGACTTGCAAAATGTCATTTATTAAAGTGTTTTCAGGCAAAAAATTGAAATGGTAGTGGATTTTTTCACTCCCATAGCATAAGTAGTTGATGAGACTAAGCTGGAAAAGATGAGAAATAAGTCAGGCGGCAGTTTGGTGGATGAACAGGGGGCTTACTGGAAACATTACAAATGTACCAATGCAGTAAATTGATGGAAGCAGAATGCCAAATGCCGTAAAAGCAAATGAACTTTAGACACTTCTTAAAGTCGTTTAAAAATCAATCAGTTCTTTTAATGTGGGGTGTGGGTTTATTCGAAACATTAGAGACAAATGAGAGAGCTTATAAGCGGACTTGATAATTGTTGCCTTCGCCCTTCAATACACTGATTCTACAAACCAAAAAAGGATCAAAACTTCAGGAAGATTTTATTTTCCTGAGAATTGTATTTTCAATTTACGATAAAATCCGTCCTTACCCTTAAACCTTTGACAATTTGCCCCCCTCTTCCTTTTGGTTTTGCCAGTGGTTAAGGCTCAGCCTTTGTGCTTTCGCCGTGAGATATAATCTTCTGGCCAAGGTGAACAAGACAGAGCAGTTAAAAAACCGTATTTCGCTGGATTCGATATATTTGCAGCATTTCTAAGGAATAATTCGGCGAGTTCTAAAAGAAAAAATTTTCAAGGTTGATGCAAAATACTTAAAAGTACAAACAGGCATCCATAAAATGCTAGATTACATCGGCGTTTTTTCTAGCCCTGTTCCTTTTTCCGCAGCCTCTTTCTAAATCTTACCGACAAAGAACCACTAGTAGTGTTAACGTATGTCAAAAATAACTTCTGGAAAATATGCCTTTTCATTTCTGAACTCTGAGGAAAACAAATTTGATTTTTACAAATATAAATTTTTTTAGGTAGTCAACTTATGAAAATTGTCTTTCATTTAGGAATGCTACACTGACTAAAATGCTGTAGAGAAATTTTGCGTTAGTTGTAGCACAAACGATATCTTAAGGTGTGACAAATCCCGATGCTGTTACATTTCGCATTATCAGAACCGTGATTTAATAGACATTTCAACCAATCCATTTCACGGGCGACTTTTGGTGAACCCAAGTACTTTAATGATTTATTTGAGTTAAATATTCTCTAGCATTTAATTTGTTGATCTTAATTTACCCTTGAAGTTTGAATGAGAGATGCTAAGGCTACGACTTTGGAGTGGACACATGTAACGTTTAGCGTTCATGAGATTGAAGTTAACCAAAGTGGAAGCTGCGATTAATTCGTAGACAGCACTTTATCCGACCTCATACCACGTTGATTCGTTTTATCACCAAGACTATTCATATCCAAAGACATCTAAGGGAAAATTTGAGCAAAACAGCATAGTGTAAGGATCGTTTGGCAGATAAGATAAATGTTTGTTAGATGTTCAAAAACTGTCGAAAAGGCGAGCACTAAGAATTCTGCCATTCTTTACTTGTTGTCCTTTGGGAAAACCACAGACACACTACCAGCTCTCCCATTACATTCATAAAATATTGCATGAGAACCATAAGCACTGGGTAGTAAATTGAATTGAAGCGTTTGGCAGAGTTTAAAGTTGTTCGTTCTGGCCTGTAAGAATACTTTAGTAGCTAAGTATCCCAGCAAGTAATTCGTGAGCTATAAAAGTGTTGCAAGGTTAAGGGCGGAAAAGGAAAAATTGATTCTCTTAGAAATTTGAAAATACCTCTGCAGAGTAGGGGATATTGTCTCATTTTACAGGAACTTCTAACGAAATCTTTTCAGTAAAAGTGACAAACTCCTTAGCAAAATAATATACCCACAAAATCCCCTTCCTTTGGAACCTTTGACATATAGAGGAATATTTTTTGTTTTTATTGAACCTATCTCATCAGAATTAAAGTCGTCCTTTTTATAAAAAGCAAAAGTGTCGGCTTAATGCTTAAAATAAATCTGACATCTTGGCTGAAAATAGGACCTGATAAATACCCTTTAAATTAACTTCGCGCTCTTTATAGAACCACTTGGAAGGCCGTCGACTTTAGAAAAAGCAATGAGATAATAAATTACTAGTAAATATGACTGAGAGACTTGTTCAAATTACACCCGATTTACAACATTTACCCTATATTGCCATCATAATGTGGGCATTTGGGTTGTTGCATCTAGTAAATGGAAATGTTTCTTTGCACAAATTAGAAGTTACAATAAGCCCTGCCCTTTTCACCAGGGAAGATGCTTACAAAGTCTTCAAAAGAACTAATATTTACTCAGGATTACTAGCAACGATGTCATTCAACAGCCGTATCAACGGAAAAGGCAATAGAAGTAAACAGTTGACAATTTACATGACTGATAAGCCATTTTTGCTGACATAAATGTGCATACTGCCTAATTTCGAAGTAGGTAACCTCGTATCTGGTAAATACTGCAGCCGCGTAGAAAAGGTTAAGTTGGGACCGCAATGTTTGCGGTCATTTCTACTTGGTAAAGTTTAATGAATCACTTGGATGATACCCATCATCGGGGAGTATGCTTTGAGTAAAGTTAAGTGTCAATAGTATGGTTCCATTTTTTCATCCATACAGTGATCAACATTTGAGCAAACTAATAGTAGTCATTTTTAGAAGGTTGATTTTGTGCTTTGATGAAGTTGCAACAAAACAACTAAATCGAGGTCGGAAATGCGTGTAAATCACACCTAAAATATGTGGTTTGCAGATGGAATTATCCATTCACATTGGCAACTTATAGTCGATTCGAGTACTATAGCTTAGTCCGTCGTACAAGCAATTACCTTTTTTGATAGAACCATTTAGTAGGAAGTGGATTCAATTGAACTGAAAATGGATACAGATCATAAAGAGAACCGGACACTTCTTACAACTGTTTGATCCTTTACAACAAAAATATATTTAAACCTTCTTTACATAACATAGAATCACGACATTTTCAGAGCATTACCTTTAATTGGTGACTGCATTCAAAGGTTATCGTAGCTTCAGATGGAAGTGATTACACGACACACTCAGGTAAGACCAGATACCACGCTTATTTTTCAGGATCCATGGCAAGCTGCCAAAATCTCTGTGAATACATACTATGTACATTTAGGATAATTTATTAACTGATGAAGTAATTGTTATCAACAACTGACACCTTAAAATAGCTATCAGTGAATATCGCAAATATACCCTTAATTAAATACCTCGTAAACCAGGATTCTGCTCAGTAATCATAAAATACTCCAGTATTTCGTACTACTCGCTGTTTAAACCTGCATGACCCACATGGGTTATACCCTTATTCTGTGGCACGACGTGTAGTATATGCAAACAGCCTATCAATCCTTCAGTAAGTGGGTAATATGTATTTTATATACTGCTTTAGCTTGCCACAACTTTGTCCATAACTTGGGACACTGCAGTGGTTGTAGCGGCGACCAAATCCGATCCAAATTCGGCTGTCCCAGTATTTAGGGATGATTAATAAGGATTGAAGAGACAGAGGAAGAGGATCTGGTAAAGGCAAGTAAAATTTGTGGGCACTTCTAACAAAAGCACTAAGCTAACATCATTTTGAGCATTATCTTTTGCATGTGTTCTACAAGAAAGTAAAACAAAAACTGGAGAGATTTCAGGCCTAAACGAATAGGGAAATTTTACTATGGAGTAGTCTATAACTCCCATGCAAAGAAATAAAATGCCCAAAATAGCAATGCCCTCTGTATTTTACTACCAGTAAAATAAAGCCCAGATAGGTGGTTGATTGGGCAACACTAAAATGAGAACACGGTAGTGAGGAGAAATTGATAAAAGATAATGACTGTCATTGCTGATTTGTTCACTACTTTGTGACAATCAATGCGAAACGATGACCAAGGTTTGGGCTGAGACGACCCGCTAAAGAGGAGAGGGGCTTAGTAGTGATCTAATAGGTTTTACAATTGTGTATTTGAACATTTGGGCGCCTCGAACTCCACAGATTATAATCTCGCTCTGTTACATGGCCTCTGAACCATGTGAACATACTCTAGGATCTTCTATACCTTAATGATGTATATTATTTCACATTGCCTTGCATTCTCACAAACTCGGGAAAAACTAGTAACGCCAATGTAAAAAATTGGCAAATAATTGTTATTCCGATTTTAACAGGAAAAATTTGTATTCTACAGTTTGATTATGTAATACCCTGTTTGACCGGAGTCGAGTAATTTCACATCTCTCCCTTAAAAATGTGTGAAGAGTTAACTTTTACCTTAAAACTAAGAAAATGGACGCAATTTACAATTAAAGACAAATGAATCAGGAATTTAATAAAACTTTGCGTACAGTCGATTAAGCGTCGTTGCTATGTTAACTGCATTTTCATTTGAATCTTGTCCTGTGAAGTGCTGCAAATGTCACCTTTGATTCCAATATTGATTCACGATTTTATAAACCAGGAAAGATTAATTAACTCACCTTTTATAAGCAATGAGGTATTCCCCTAATCTGCGAAGTTATAAGGAAAATAAATAACTATGTGTACGTTTGAAGCCATTCACCTAAAAGCACGCTTTTTATGAAATCTACACTTTCCACCCTGTATCATTGCTCTGAAATGCGTGATTTTAAATTTAAGCACAAATAAATCTGAGCATATTTTCAGCATCATGCCTAAAGCAAGCAAGCTGTCCTGGTTTAAGCAAAAATCTAAAAAAAAATGAAATTAATTAGTTAAACTGCAAAACTAAGGCACTGTCAATTTGTTCCAGCAACTGCAGAAATTGCAGTTTTAGCGAGTATTCATTAAAAATACATTTTAAATTATTATCAGATTGCAGTCCGGTTTGTAGATAATTTTAAATCAAATTGTAACTGAATAACAATTATTTCAACAAAAATTTATCAAAGCGCATTTAAGTGTACTGTTGACGTACGGAAGAGCTGCGATTCGACTGACACGGCCCGGAGGTCTTGCTGCTCAGTGAGTGGACTTGTGGACACTTAATTGCAGGCGTAACTGAAACAGAGCGTTAAGCAGTCAAGGCATTACATTGTGCATAAGTAAGGCGAGTGGCTAATTCCTGTCCATTACGCGAGGCTTGGCTCATTGCAATTAAGTAGTTAAAGGGCACGTCAGTTTAAGTATTTGCTGCCGAATGAACGCAAGAGTGGCGACCAACATGGCCACAATTAATTATTTCGGACGGAACGGTTTAACTTTGGCTAAACTTAAATGGAAGCCTGTAAAATAATGAAATTTACATCATTTCAGCCAACTCTTTCAGAGTCATCGTAAGTGAAAGCATGTATGGAAGATTTCTGTTGGCATAGTGATAAAAAAACAGATTTTTTTCGGAGTTGAATTTGATAAGCGGTAAACATCGCAGTTTTTTTGCTGGAGACTACACACTATCGAAAATTGCTGAACCACTCCTCTTTTCTTAACCATTAAAAGACGGCAGACGATAAAAAAAAATTTTCCCACATAAAGCGTAGTTCTCCTTTTTTATCACAAATAAAATGATATAAGATATCAGGTAGCACTTAAAATGGATATTAAAATGAAAGGATGTTTCCCAATGTCACTATTTGCCTATAAATCAGCCTTTTATTTGGAGCTAAGTCGGGGAAGACAACTCTAACAAAGTCTGCATTGCTTGAGCAAACTAGAATTTCGCTCTTGGCTTGCAAACACAACCGATGCATGTGTTATAATTCAAGTCTAATGATGTTGATATGGATAGCACATTATTATGCTGTTATCACCAGCTCACAGCAAAAGTCATTGATTGAAATTACATTTCCACTTCCACTTCTTTGACATCTTTTGCATTTATATTGACGAGGCTTTGAATTTTCAAAAGAGCAAAATTTAACCTAGAGCTACAGTAAACAATCATCATTGCTGAAAGTCTTGGAATCAGTTATTGAAGGGGATCCAAAATAAAACACTTAATTGTGTCATATCACATTTCTCTTTAGCCTTTAGTAAGCTTCCGATTCCTAACTCTAGCATTTACTGTTAAACAAAATACTCCTTAAATAAAATCTCGTGGAGTAACCACTACTTCATAGTCCCGAAGGTATAATCTTAACTCCCGTTTTACAAGCCTTATAAACTCAAGCAAAAAGGAGCGGGTTAATAAAGCACTTTTTTCTAATTAAGGCTTGGAATAATGCGGTGTTAGCAAGTTGTCATTCATTCCCTTTCCCACAGATGAAAATGGTTTTATCTGATAAACTTAACAGATTTGGTCCCTTGAAACAAAATACTCAAAATTAGGTAAAGTTTGGGATTTAATTTCCCGTAAGGTGCTCGGGATACGCAAAACTCATCGTATTTGATCCGCATACTTTAAACAGGTAAAACTGTTAAGTATTTTACCAAAGCAGAATAGCATTATTTTTACTACTAAAGACTGACAATGATTTGTTTAGATGAGCAATAATATAATAAAGTGTAAGATTTCACTTAATACTCAAGCAGTACTCATGTTCTAAATGAGGGAAAACAGTAAACTAGTAGATTGAAAAGGTTTGAGCCTAAGGTTTTTCAGCAAAGGGATCCGGCACTGACTCTTCTAATCCACGGTAGCCAGGCTTTTTAATTAAATGTTTCATAGATTCGTTATTATAAAAAAAATCACCTTAACATGCAGAATAACTTGCTTATTTTTCTCCACGGAGTAAATGGCTTAACTGCTGGGATAAGAAGAAATTACCTGTTTTTCGCTACGAGAGGGCAAATGTGATTCGGCCCTGTTAATGCATCCTATTGTAATACGAAGCTTGTTTATTTCTCGGTATTGGCGAAGAGCCACTTTGGACCTGAGTCTGCTGTAACGCCGGGTGAGTCGGCCTTCGGAATGTGTCAGTTACACAAATACTTTCTCTTTGCCGCATATATGTGTTCCGCCCGAGTACTAGGGCTTCTTTCGTCTTCAGGGAAGTCTCGGGGGGCTACACTGTGTTTTCTCGAAACCACATTCACCACTGCAATTTCACTCTTTACTGCATTTAATAATTATGATTTGCCTGCAGACTGTGGTATTGTTTAGCCTTAACTTCTCACACACTGTCTGATTGTGGGGAGTAAAATGATACAATGAATGTTAATTCTGACCACACAAACTCAAAACGGAAGACTCAAACGTGAATTTCGATTCTGTTTATCCCTGCATGCTCATTGAGCAGCAAAAGGCTTGTATATAACGTTTATGCCTTTATGCTTGGGAGGACCACTCTTGGTTCCACCTTGTCACATTTTAACGGATTGCTTCTCAAACTGAGGCAATTGTGAATTTTTTAATAATGGTTTAAAAGTTTTCCAAATTTTTTAGACATTTAAATCTTGCTGATGGTGCGCTTATTTGGTGCAGCCTCTACACTTTAATAATGATGCGGAATAAATGATCCAGACAATTATGATTAGAACAGCGTTTCTTGCTTTGAACAATGCTTTTTGTTGTTGATTATCCACTATTTTACGCAAAATTCAACTCTTTGATTTATTTTCGCGTGCATTTAAAGCTTCATCCGTGTACTTCCACTGGGCTAGATGACCCTCGGGCCATACTAGTAGCCCCTTAGCCCTTCTGCACGTCGGCAACACAGATTCTGCCTTAGCATTACGTCTTCGATCGTCGTCAGAATGGACTTGAGGTGCTACGTCTAAGTATTGGAGTGACTTTTGGAAGTGCTGTGATAGCAGGAATTCATGCCCTTCATTATAATCAGGAACCTCATTTGATTTTTCCTATAAACGAACTTTGGCATGCAAAGAAGGAAATGAAACATTTTAGCACTGGATTTGGATGTCTCGAGAATAACTGCTATAGCCAACATTAGTTATGACTGACTTTTCAGTTGGGTAGATGTGAGTTGAATACGGAAAGTGTTGAGTAAGGGACTGCAGAATAACCCATAGCGGCGTGAACTGAACCGCCTAGATAGTATCTAGATTTTAACCAACTCTTGACCCTATTGTGTTTATTTTAAGTGATAAAACAGGATAGGTTTGCAATTCTTATATGTAAATGAACAAATTTACTTTAAAAGCAACTAGTGTAGATTCTATGTGTTAGTGAGCTAGCAAGTTGTTTTAATTTTTTGGCATGCAACAAGTACGCATTTGTATGCATACAACTTCTACATGGCAGGAGTTAGTTCCAAAGTACTTCATTTTAATGTGTTTTAAGAAATACTGAATGGATATCTTTAGCTACACACCGAGAATATACCAATTTGTGTGTGTCGGATGGAGAGCGAGGGCGCTTATGTCGATTTGTGTGAAAGGGTTCCAAGTGGAATTGTGATTTCTACTGCATTCAATCTTTATTTTAACAAAAAAATTATATTTTTTGCTTAGGACTACTCTTTAGATCTTCCTCCATCACCTGTACTTACAACAACTGAACTCTACTCCCGTTATAAAGTTATCGGTGTCAAACATCTGACCATGGATAGTTCCGTTACCTGTACTACCTTACATTAACCAAGGCCACGTTGTAATCCTTTTGAAATGGCTAGGCTCTTCCCCTTGTGCACATCGAGGCCTTGTAATACCTACTTCTGTTCGCCCTAGTGTTCTTTCCGTGAAGGATACCTCACTGAAAAATGCTCTTGCACATGCACAGTAGCTTTTCTTCCGCGGGAAGCACAAATTCACCTAGGTTTCATATCTACAGGAAAAAGTTCAACCACGTGTTCATATTTCAAGCATTGCTCTGGACATTACCATTCCACGGCAAATCCCATTATCGGACGCATAACCGGTGCAGATTCATGAAGAAGGAGTAGAATGCGGATAAGTCTTATGACACCCGAAATCCAGAATACCACTGCTACTATTTGTCCTCCATTTTTGTGAGAGAAACCATCATTTTCAAAATAAATAGGCTCCTGGAAATAATTTAAAATCACCAGCAGCTATCTATACCTTTGAAGGATGTATAGTTTTACTGATTTTGAGAACGTAATAACTATAATCCTTAGAACCTTTAGAACCTTTACTTCCACTGTCTACTGTCAAGACTAGTACCTCCATTTTGAGAAAACGCTTCTTTCGTTGAAATTATTTCTTACGTAAGGACAAGCCATTACGATGCTAAGATGTATGAAAATGAATGTGGGAGGAGAACCTATGAACGCTTTCTTTTACAGATGGAGTAGTTTATTCCGAATACCTCTAATTAACGATCCTTTAAATGTCCTTTTCTACGTCGGCAATACATATTCTGCCATAGTGTTACATCTAATTCTTGGATAAAAAGGGCTCAAAAAGCTACGGCAAAAAAGACGAACGTGTTAAGGTGAGCTATGAATTTTTAAAATATACCTACCTAAATCAAGTTTAATCTTTAATAAATTCAACTAACAAGCTGTATTCGCGGCCATGTGTTCACTCAACTAAGGCAACTTTGGATCCAGCATGAAGTTAAATAAAAACTGTCAAACACCTCAGCACAATATCACACAATACGCATGAGGTACCTGTTCTTGTTCGGTTAACAAGATCTATCCTCTTTGATACTTTTGTCATTAAAACAACGCATGTAAGGAACCTGATCATTTACTCTGGGGGATTCTTTTAAAATTTTACAAAAGCTTTACAATCCCCTGCTTCCACTAGAAAGGGTTTTCCCTTTCCGTTCCATGGAAGGGAGACAAATCTAACATACTTAATGACTTCGATTTATGATTTGGAAATAAATGAATGGTATCTCCTCAAAGGTGCATTTAAAAATATATATATATATAAATGACAGTTTATGCAAAATCACCAAACTCGAAATGAGTTAAAGTATGATTGTTGCTGCTAGCAAAATGAAATGAAAAATTAATTTCTTTGAAATTTCCCTTTACACAACTGCATGCCCGACCTACGACACAAGGTCATATTTACCAAGGGGCTTACTCAGCTAGTCTTAAGGGTTATTTGTCCCTTGCAGTGTACTTCCATTGATCGTTGCGATGGGGTTTGCCAAGTTTGCCCTGAAGTTGTGCAGTACTGGTCAATGTTATTTGGTCATTGCAACCATATTTTGCACATTCATTTGCGTTCCTTCACTAATCTCTAGCAAAGTACCCCACTGTACTAGCAATACTATTTTTGGTTAGTTCATGCCATAAAGCATAGCGGCTTTTATCAAGCTTGTTTTTAGGGTAAGCACAAGCCCACTATTCAAAGAATTTGCACTTATTTGTTTAGTAAAATAAAGACCCTTTAGAGGGAAGGCTTAGGGATGGCATCGCACTTGAACTCACTTTCAAGTGACAACTTTCAACTGATTGTGATAAAACCTCCCTATTTTGTGATGAAAGGCTTTTTTTGCTAAATGCAAAATATACGTTTGTTTGGCTCTACCTTTTAGGCGAGTGGCGATCAGAAAATACGAACGTGCCGATGGGTTTGACGCCATCGGTCCCCTGGAGGACAAGCACTCTGAACGTGCTTAGCGGCGGTATCTGTGCTTCTTTATTTAACGTTACCCACTGAAATATATTTCTGCCCAACTTGTCTGCGCGTTCCAAGGGTAGCTAAGGTGAGGTAAACGAGGGCGAAACACCTAGTTTATTATACTTAGTCTTGCGTTTTTTGCTCGTTTAGCAGATTATGCTGGTGTGGGCAGTTTGCATAAGTAAATTTTCTTGTAGTGATCACAAATACTTACCAAATTACAGATTTTTCTTAAAGAAGACTTCGCTATGAGTACATGGCTGTAGCGAATTCCATTGACTGTTGACAAGGAGGATTTCGACATATTCTTTTGATACTGTTCTCATGTAACTGAAGTAAAATCCTTTAATACTAAGATTTTAAAAGTTGTTCAATAAAATTACTTTACTTCGGGTCAAATGTTAATGCATTATCAAGGATTCGCATTTAAGGCACAACTTTGCCAAATCGGGGGCTTATTCAACTTTGTAAATAATTCCATGTCCACTTTGGAATCTTCCTCTCAGCACAAAATAGCTTTTTTATTGTTATGTTAAGTGGATTTTGTCATTAAATTCGTCGTGTCTCTTAATTAGTCCTGTTTGTTATATGCAGTTGATAAAGCTTAGTTCAAGGCTCTGTACTCATGTTCATGCCAAAGTGGATTCTCAACAGACACACCAGATCAGGCACAACGATTAAGGCTGGGTAGAAACTTCATTATGGAAAGTAGAACGAACTGTTATTTTATTCATAAAAAGCATATAAATATGTAAGACAAAAAGATTTCAGTGTATGTATTGCGGCTGCAAAAGAATGCCATTGTTTCTTCAACAAAGAGGAGTTAATGAATAAACTAGAGAAATTAGTAGCTTTATCAACCTCCAATTCGGGCTATTGTTCAGGTATCTACTATTTTCTTGCTTTAACATTATCCACTTTATTTCGCACTCCCTTATAATTATCATTTTAACAAATTGGAACATTTCTGTATTCTAGCGAAATCTGAGCGCTATTTTTGGGGCAGTAAGGGGAACAATGACTGTGCTTCAACAAGTGTAGTGACCAGTAGTTATGCAGCCACAAGTAGTAAGAGTTCAAAATTAGCTTCCTCTATCGCCTTACGCTCTATGAACAGCCTTTAGGTCAAGTCAAGATCCCAGCATCAGCTGCGACAAAGTGCACAGATCAGCATTTTGGCTAGAAGGTAAATACAAGTAGGGACAACCCGGGTTTAAAGCTTGAGCGTACTAATCTCAAAGGCACTTCAAAACTTGTGTCAGAGAGCCAATGATTGTACACGGTTCCTAGACACTTTATTTTAAGATGGTGACAATATTACGGATTATAAGTGCGGCTTGAAGGCCAACCAAATGCGAGATCGTGTCTCTATCGTAAAGGATGTTCAACTTTCAATTACTTATGATCCTGAGTAGGTAAGTCTCAGTACTGGCCGAAATGATCATAGCAAGAAATACACGCTTCACATGGAATTACGTTTCAACATCCAAAATTAGCAACTTCCCTTTTCCCACGAGATCGTTCAACTTCACATAATATGGGTTTAAACAAGGGACGCATATTTTTGCCTCTAAATGAGGTCAAAGCTTAGTCATCAATGCGGGACTTTTTTGAAAAGCGAAGTGCTTTGACCCTCTTCGCGAATTAAGAAATAAAGAGAGCCACCTAGTAAGCAGTATGCAAGGGGATGCGAAAAACTTTTTGTCTAAAAAGACATTGACAATAACGTTTTTACAATAGCACTCGCCAAGTTTGAATGTCCTGCCTTCCCGAGTACTGGATGGTGTGTTTTCACTCTTTCCAACAGTTCTGTCTAAATCTATCCGGCTCATATTTTCTGCTTTCGGAACCGTGAATTAGAAATCAAATTGGTAATAAAACATTTGTAACATCCACTTGTACTCAAAACCCATAAAAGAAGGATTTAAATGTTAAAAATGCACAGTAGGTGGCTCCTAAGCGTCTTTATTTAACAGTTACCCTCGAGGGAAACCTGGATTTTGATCAAGTCGAGTGGTGGCAATTTGGATTGAATGGCAGTCTCAGTCCATGACAATGTCTACATTAGCGGTGAAACTCCCTGTAACTGATGTTCCAATCACTATGGGCAATTTTGACGGACAATTATGATATTAACCTGGACAGCTAGATGCCTTTCACTGCACAAATTATTCCTGAGAAATTACGCTACAACAGTCTCAAGGATCAAATCGCCAAATTAACAGGTTAACTAGAATGGATCGCAAAACCCAATATGAGGGATGCTGTTCTCATAAATTATTGTAATTTATTTGATGGTCAAGCGCTTTCCTTATAAAAAACTGATTTATACTATGCTATAGATGGATTTCAACAAATAAATGTCTAATGACTATAATGAAGTAGTCTATCACTTCACTTCTACTTGGTTAGACTCAATCAGATATCAAGCAGTTAATGGTACAGTTGACGACAAATACGATTGAGAACCATATTAATCAGCCATTCCTATGTTTTGGCTTATGAGCTGGTGTTTATAAAAACCGCAGTAAATCAAAAGTCCGTTTAATCAAACCCAGGCATCAAAATGATTATAATGGGAGCCTTACTGTCAGCCAGATAAATATGTTGTGAAAGGCTCCAATGACTACCAAGTTCCCTTTTAGCCAAAGCCATATCAGATATTACTGAGCTGTAAATTAGAATAGGTATGACTCAACTTACACGTAAACGCACCTTAAAATGGTTTCTTGTGGTGGTCCAGAAGCCTGTCATTTATCAGCAGCATGTGAGTTTAATGTATTCATTTGGCTTTTTTATTTCTTGCTTAGGCCAGCAAATCGTGATAAATCAACCCGATACAACAGCACACGAAGGTGTGGGAGCTCGCTGATGAATGATCGCGCACCTGTGGTGGGGATGTTTGTCTGTATCACTCAACAAAAGTCCCCGTGCTTACGCGGAGTGACGAGCGCAATTTATTTATTTTGCTTAATTTATTCGAATGTTCATACAGAATGCAGTTCCAAATCAAAGTATCTCGTCAGTTAAAGATTCCTCTAGGTGTTCAGCATGAGGGCCTATAATGTCGGGTAATTCACTTTAGCCATTCTTGACGTTTGGTTACCATACGAATACACATTTTGGCTCGTAGATAGCTTCAAATGGTGGAATATGGTCGAATCGACACGGCAACAGATAAACCGTGTGGCACTGCGATAGAGTGATCAGTTTACACAAAGTAAGCAGTTTTCAGTGCCCAAATTTGAGTTTGCCATTAAAACACAAGTTGTAGACCCAGACCGAGACCAAAGTTGCTAATTATCAGCTGAAAGCTAATCAGAATGCAATTATTGAAAACAACTAATCATATTTCTACTTATCTAAATGAGCTCCACCCATAAAGAATAATTTTGATTATTACGGTTGTTTCCGCGTAATAATATAATGCCAACCCATATAAACAACTTGATTTAGAGCGAAAAGTGAATTAAACACTTTACAGCCACCATCCACCAAAACATAACAACAAATTTCGACACAACTTTGTAAAAACTGGGAGCGATGCTTTCCTGGAAAGGTAATGCCCTATGATTTCCCTTATTACCACCTCCCAACTCGAACTGAAGTGATGGGTGCTGTAATTTGGCAGTTGAGATGAGCGAACCAGATAAACACGAGTAGACCTGCTTTAGGGGGTAATTTGTGGGTACACATTGGTCACATAATTAGTGCTGCAAAAGTCGTAGGAGCTAAATTTAGAAACCCTTACTACCTCAGCCTGTAGCTTTGAGTTTAAGAGGCAATTAATGGCCTTTGGTTGAGACTTCAACGCTGGACTTGTGGAGGCAATTTACTATAAAACTGCTGAAAGTAATGGTAAAGTCTTCACTGAAGAGGTGGTGAATGAATGCTGTTTATGATTATATTGCTTCATTTAAAGTTTTTGCCAACCCGTTACTATCTTAATTGTATTTGCAATTTAACCAGGCAGTAACATCTACAAAGCAGGTTGTTGATACTAAATTGATAACATTGACACAATCTTTCAAAATGGCCACGCGTAAAACAAATGAAGAAAGTCGACGAAAACATGAAATCCAGAGAGTTTGTTCCACTGCTTATACATATACAATTAATAGTTTAATGTAGTTAGCTTGTAGAATTTTTGCCCTACTGCCTCCACTTTGTTTGACACATGTCCAAGTTTCATTTCATTGAGGTGTACAACACAAGCACCTTCCGGATAAACTATAATTTATTACTGCCAAAGTGGTTTTAGTTTAGCTCATTCTTGATTACACTGGGCAGCAATAAAATAAGCAGTTCCCTTACGTTGTAAATTTTTTATTCAAACATTTTTTTTTCTACCGTATTTTGAAGGGGCTTTAAGGAAAAGGAGTGATCGACTGCCCTTTTAACAAGGTCAGCCATTTTACTCCACTTTGATGTGTTGATAATTCAAGTAAAAATTAGGAAAACTCTTAACTCACTTCGCATGATAGACGTCAAGTGTGTGAGAAGTGCGTCAAAAAATGACAAACAAAGCACCTGTCACCAGAAATAAATTAAAAAGCTGCTGCATATCTTTTTAAAAATAATTAAAAACTGTTTAAATGTTAGAACTAATTAAATAGATGCATGCTTTCTTTGGACTGCTTTTATGCGAATCTACCGCAACGCTTTTAAATAACTACTTTTTGGAAAAGAAATAAAAGAATTTTCTCGCTTAATTTCATTTCTATGCTCTACTTTATGCTTACCTCAAATGTTAAAGTGCCTGATACTAGAGGTGCGGAAATACCTTCACGTAAAGTAAAAAGTCATTGCCTGACTTGAATTGGTTCCGACCCGAAAACAATTCATGGGTAGTTGGTCACGAAACTTATCAATGCTGCTATTGACCACTCAGGCAAGTGAAGCATTTTGATGCAAAATACGCATTGTGATTAATTACCTTTCTTTTCTTTTTTGTCATCAATGTATTATTTCCACTGCAGAAGAGGCTCTTACATTTTCA